GGCCAGTCAAAGAACGCTCCTAAATTCGCTGCACGCCACGCTGCACGCTCCGCAGAACGCAGTTCTCACTCAGGCCTCACACTAAGTCCTAAAAACGCTCGGAGCTCCCTGATGTTTCGCGGTTTAGGAAACTTGGAAATCGCTTCGATACGATTAGGGTCTATACTGACACTCGCTAGAGATGACGTGACCTAAAAAGATTACGTCTTTCCGTATAAACTGGCTTTTCCTTAGCTTTAAGGTAATACCCTCTGCTAACAAGTTTTCGAACAAAATCTTCAAATGCTCTAGGTGTTCCTCGATTCCATCCGAGAACACCAGCAGATCATCAACATATATCACTGTGAAAGAGCGACAGGTTGGTCCCAGAACCTGACTCAAACATCGTATAAGGGAATCCATTGATGTGGACAACCCAAAAGGAAGCCTTTGGAACACGTAGGTCTCGCCTCCGTGAATAAAACCGACATACTTTCTGTCCTTCTCATGTATTCTTATCTGCCAATAGGAGGCCGTGAGGTCGATTGTGCTAAGTACAACGCCCTTCCTAAAATTCAGAAGTAACTCTGCGGGATTTGGTGGAGGGATGAAGTCCTTTCTTATCCTAGAATTGAGAAGTCTGGCATCTATGCAAATTCTCGGTGACCCATCTCGCTTCTTAACTACCACTAATGGGGATATGTAGCTCGTTTTTTGTTTTTTGATCACCCCCCATCTCTCCATCTCTCTTACTTGTCTATCAACTTCATTACGATGAATGAACGGTATCGGGTACGTAGGTGCATTAAATGGAGAATCGTCTTCCATTTCCACTTTATGAACATAAGATTCGATGCATCCTGGATGCTCAGGAAACACTTTCCCATATTTAAAAATTAGGTTTTCTAGCTTCTTCTGCGAAGTTTCATCCGCTTCAGCCTTGCCGGCTGCCACTTTAATTTCTGCTTCAGAGTATCTATGAAACGTTAACTTCTCATTTTTATCTACTTCCACGACATTGTCTAACCTACCACATAGGTGTACATTTAAGTCACCCCCCGTACTCAGCTATTTTTAAAAAGGAATGGTGCAAACCTCTTGGTTGCAAGAAAAAGTAATTTTTAAATTTCCAAAATCGACACTTGCCTTGGCAGACGACAACCAATCGCAGCCAAAAAGAATGTCACAGTTAAGTCCCGGAATTACCAAACACTTGACATCTAAATCAATATTACAGTCCGCCAACAGCCGAATCGATAACAGAATCTGTAATTTGATGAGCTGTTTCTTGGCACCAAAAGCTGGAGAAATCGCTAAAGTTGACACAGGCAACATCGGAACCTTTACCTGCGGCTTTATTTTCTCTAAAAATTTGTCGGACACCGCGGAAACCTCACTACCGCTATCGACAACTATGTCCGCTTCGATCGTACCTACTCTAGCCCGCAAAACTAGAGATCTGTACTTCTGCTCCTCTACATCTTTTTCTGACTCTGAATCACTACTTAATAGAGAGCTGGCATCATCGCAAAATGGAGCATTGATGGCCACAATATTCCTAACAACGTTTCCCGCGTCGTCTTCAACACCGCTATCGCGATTATCACGAGCATTGCTGTATCGCCCCAAAGTCGCTTCATTCTGAACCTCATCGACTTCTCTGAGATATGCATCTATCTCATCTACTGTTTTTAAACCCATGTTTACGATGCCGCCTTGAATCTCTAATGAAAAATGCAGCATTTTAGTTAATTTTTCGATCACGGAAGGCCCCCTCAAAATCCTCAAACTTTAGCCAAGTATCCTCTTTCATTGCTGCCCAGTCCGCCGCTGTACCTCGCAAACAAGAAACAGCAAGTCCGATCTTGTGGCTATCCGGAACGCCAGCATCCAAAAACAATTCCTTTAACTTTTTTATATAAGCCTGTGGGTGTTTCCTACCCTCCGGGCTAAAAACAACGTCATTACCTCCCAATTCCTTCCATATATACATAAAGTTGTGATCTGGCGCCTTACTCTCGCTACATACATCTTTTTTATCTGACTCCCCTTTCACAATCATAGATAAGCCCTCAGACGATTTTTGTAATCCTATCATGCCAGCCGCTAGCTGTGATAAAACACCATTTAGTTCGGAATCCATATTCACTGAAAAATCATCCAGCACCTCGGTAGGTTTGTTTTTCTGAGCCCTCGATTTCTTAGGCATAACAGAACTAAACTAAATCAATATTCATGTACATTACATTGGCGATTATACATTAACCATACAGACTCAGTACACCGAAAAATATGTTGTTAAACAAGGTAACAACAAGAAAACATAAAAGTATACGAGAAAATGTATGTTATATGCACTCAAAACAATGGACTTACTATTCCATACAATGTTGCACCAGACGCTAGCTCAGCAACAGATAACGACTTCTCGCTAACTCGTTGTTTACGCTTTATTTTCTAGAAGTGCTTTGTAAGCACACCAATAGTATAAATAGGCCTTGCGCCCATTTCATGTTGTTCAATACCCGGCGCGACACCGTAATGTTGTACGCTAACTAATAAGTTCAATTGTAACGTTTGTAACGGACAGAAGTTACTGTCCTCAAATAAATTTTTTAAAAAGTAAAGTTGAATTTAAATGATATAACATATATATATATATATATATATATATATAATATATTTATATATAATCGAGCTACACTTTTCAGGCTGTGCAAAAAGAACATGGAGCCTGAAGTCGTGTGCCGTACCAAACTAGGCCGTAAGCCCGTTTTACCTGATTTTTTGGAAAAAGAATTAGTTAAGCACTGTCTAGAGATGGATACATCGTTCTTTGGCTTGACGCTTCGCGATGTTTGTAATGTTGCTTTCTAATTAGCAAGAAAAAACAATATTCCTCATCCATTTTCATTACTTAGAAAATCAGCTAGCAAGGATTGGCTTTATCACTTCAGAATGAGGCATAAAAATGTTTTAAGTCTGAGAAGACCTACTGGAACTTCGTACGCTCGCGCCTTACGATTTAATAAAGAAAATGTAGACAAATTTTTCGACCTATTAGAGACCCTAATGGAGATTCATAATTATTCGGCAAGCCAAGTTTATAACGTGGATGAAACTGGTTTAACCATTGTTCAATCAAGAAATCCAGAAGTTTTTTTCTCTAAGGGGCAAAAGGCAAGTTGGGACAATGACGTCAGCCGAACGAGGTTCACTTATAACCTCAGTCCTTTGCATAAGCCTAGTGGCAATTTTGTACCCCACCCCCCCCCCCCCCTTATGATTTTTCCCAGAAAAAATGCAAGTGAACTTCTAAAGAAGGGTGCCCCGCCAGGAACCATTTTTTCCTTTCATCCGTCAGGCTGTATTCAGATGGATATTTTCACACAATGGTTCAAACATTTTCTAAAACATGTTGCACCGAGTCCAGAAAATCCTATTCTACTGATTCTAGATGGTCACTATACTCACACTAAAAACGTAGACGTTATTTTGGCTGCCAGGGAAAACCATCTGACTTTACTTTGTCTACCGCCACATACAACTCATGATGCAGCCATTGGATAAAACTGTTATGGGAGCATTAAAGACATATCACAATGAGGAAGTACGGCTATTTTTAAGAACACATAATCAATGATTTTGATTTAAGTGAACTTTTTGGTAACGCGTATCTGAAAATCCAAAGTGGTGAAAGATGTGTTAATGGATTTCGCCAAACTGGATTGTTTCCAGTTAACCGGAACGTATTTACCGAAGAAGACTTTATTCAAGAGGCACAAAGAAATGAAGTCCAAGTAAATTCAGAAGATTATGTGCTCCAGGAGAAACCCCAACCAGAAAACACAGCTCAAAATGCCACCATAGTCTTACCACGGGATATAATTCCCAAGCCAACTTTGAGGAAGTGACCAAGTCACGTACCAAAAAAGAAATTTCAAATAAAGGCAATAAAAAAATCAGAAGAAGGTAAATCTTCATCGGAAGATTCCCACAGTTCTGCATCTTTACATGACTCCTCATCTAACGACGATGAAGAATTTCCTGTTTATGATCCTTCATCTAAGGAGGCTGAGTGTTTGTTTTGTTCGGGGTTATATTCGGCTGCTACAAGGGGAGAAATCTGGATTCAGTGCGCAAGATGTGAACTTTGGGCTCATGAGTTATGTGCTGATACGCCAAACGATGTTTACATTTGTGATTTTTGTCGCTAAAATATACCTATAAGCAGATATTTTTTAGTTCATTTAGTATTTCATATTACCCTATAGTGGTATTCCATATTACCCGACCATTTTTTTGTAATGTCAGAAGTACTTATTTTATTCAACTTTATTTTTCTTTTAAATTCATAAAGTTTTTGAAATTCCAGACTTTTATTTGCTTAGATGGATAGTTACCACAATATTTAATGACTTTTCTAATGCACTGTACTGCACCTAGAAGAATTTATGACTATAATAGAAAACAGTATTCCATATTACCCGCCGCTACTCTACCATTAAGCGCATGGCACATAGGGGAACAAAATTCACATGCGGCATTAATATAATTTTGGGCATTATTGGAGGTTTAAGCTGTGAGTTGTATTCTATAGCTGGAAGGAAACGGTAGTGCATAGGTGCATAGTGAGCATTTGTGTGCTAATAATATGTGTTGATGATGATTCCACTGGTTTCTTGTCTCAAATACACTTACTTGAGATTAAAAGCTAGAACTTAGTAGCGCATCCACTTTTTCTTATTCATTCGGGAAATCAACATAAGCAAATTTGCTGAATTTAAAAAATGAGAGAGGTAAGACAAGAGAATCCATGGTTGGTGAAGGAACACGTGAGAAAATATGCTATGTCATAAGAAAATACAAATCAGCGCCTAGATATGAGGCATTGCCAAAAAATGTTTGATGTGTGATGCGCCATTCCTAATTTTTCTATTATGTGGCTTAATTGAACAATGCGTGTAGTAGAGCCATTTCTGTATAGATGGACGCTCACAGCGATCATAGCGAGTACCTAAACGTGGAATTGAACTAATGGCACCCTAAAAACTACTTAGTCTGCAAAATGACATTTTTTTGACGATTTATAGGTTTTTTACATAATTGCCGTGCTGATCAAGCAGTGATGAAATCAACCGGTGAATTAAAGGATACGCCTAATGGTATGAATATACACCCATCGACAAGCAACAAAACATGGCGATGCCAGAAATCTAACTGGCCAAAGAAGACAAAGCTACTATTACAGGAAAAGAAAAAAGATTAAAAAGTTACTAGTAGGTATATAAGTTAACCTCAAAATTTGCACGTTATACAAGGGAACCCGAAGAGACAAAGAATTAATTCCACGGCTGGACAGGTAAAGCTACCTCCAGATATCAAGATACAAGGAACGCCGCAGATTGGAAGTTTTTGGAGAACTTCATTTGACGATTATTTAATAGCCGCAAGGCAAAATGACTCGGCGGATGAAATACAGATGATCAGGGCAACTTATCCGAAGTTGAAGAATTCATATCAATCAGCATTAGCCAAGCCATGTACATAGCAATAGAATTTTCAGATGAAATTGGTGGTGAGGGCGATATTGCCATCGTGCATGAAAAGTGGTCACCGCCAACAAACAAACGGGTGTGGTGGCCACCATATAAGCAGCAAGATAATAAAATAACATTTTTACAGCTTTTGAAACACAAGTTATTAATCTTCTTGTTACTATAAAAACTCAAAACAAAGATATTAAAAGTATCTTGCTCCAGAACAATAAGGAAGTGGCATTAGAGTTACCCTGAGACTTTCCTGTGCATCTTCCCGTATTAATTGCTGAAGATATAGACATTTTGGATGAATATGTAAGGATGACAAAACATTATCAGCACTGGTAATTTTGGTAGATTAAAGTGTACATTTAACAAAATAATTTTGAAACAAATGTCAAGAGCTATACTGCTTAACATAATGTTAAAAAATACTCGCTAAACTATTTTTAATTGTAATTTTTTGTGTTAGCTACTTTACTTACTGGAACCTCATTTTCTAGCTTTGTTTTGCAATGCTAATGTAAAATTAATAATAACAATATATATATCTTTATTGTACTAGATGAAATACATATCCTGAGAACTTTAGTTGACCAAATTAGGAGAATATTATTTTCATTTTCAGATCTTGTACTTTTCAAAGTCAGGGGGACGTGATATTACCAATAAGACCAATATAATTTTGAGGTACCTAATATCTAATGATTTGGTGGTTAGCTACAGTTATTTGGGGACTAGACAAGAAAAGAAAGCATTTAAAACTTAAATTATTAACAAGGCTGTAATAAGTAAGTAGTAAGTATTAACATATCTCTACAGGTTTCAGAAAAAAGATCTGATGTAACATACAATACTTGGTGTACAACTATATTCAAAAATCAATTTTCTTCATTTTAGATCCAGGCTGTGTGTGATCATCAGAGAAGGTTTAAAGATTTATTTGTAGGGTATCCAGGATCAGTTCATGACAGTCGAGTTTTTCGGACTTCTCCTCTAAGTCAGACATTAGAACAAAAATGTGGGACCTATTTTATACTGGGAGACAGTGGATACCCTCTTCAAAAAAATCTGCTAACACCCTACAAAGACCGAGGGACTCTAACTCAACAACAGATAAATTACAATATAAAGTTATCTAAAAATAGATGCATTATTGAACATTCTTTTGGTATGCTGAAGCAAAAATTCCGTCAACTCTATCACATCAAGTTACGGAAGATACCATTGATGGTCCATTTTGTAAGAGCAGTCTGTGTTCTCCATAATATTGCTATCAAGGATGAACTTCCTAATGCTAATTTAATAGAGACAATCGAGGCTGAGAATGCTGCAGTAGCCATTGGTGATGATAATGAGGATATAGAAGATGATGGTAGTGCTGTTGCTATTAGGGACCACATTGCAGCTATATTATGAAGTGGGACAGCTAATAATTTCATAAAAATATGGGTCCACAAATGCTCCATTTTTATGATAAATGGTAGCTTTCCATCTTTGACAGTTTATTTTACATTCATCAAAAAACTGTGGGGGTATTTGTAAGAATATTAAAAACTTGAGCATCGAATCTATTCAATCACAGGTTTTTGATAAATGTAAAATAGAAAATTAAAGGTGGAAAACATTTAACACATGCACACATATGAATAGAGCATGACTGGGTCCATTGTCATGTGAACTTTTCTTTACATTTTACAATATTTTATCTGACCTTAAATGTCTGTCACTACATTTTGTAACACCTTGTATAATATCATTTAAATAGTTTATGTTAATTTTAAAGAAACTCATGTGCATAATGAGGTGAAAGTATTTATTACTGCTTTGTAAAATCTATACATGTACATTTCTCTTGTTTTATGTTGATAGATTGTCTTTTATTGCAGTCTTTCCCCAAATCACAAATGTATTTGTAGTGTTTAGAATCTAATAAATGAGTTGCATTATATGACTATCTGTATGAATCAAGAGCTGTAGCAGAAGGTATCCAGTATATGGATGGTCATGACAATACAATATGTGATCTCCTTGTTAACTAATAACTGAAAATAAATTGTCAAGATAGATGTCAATGAAATAGTAATGCGAATTAATTGCTTTTTCCTTGTAGCGTCAATAACAGAATAATAAAGGAGCACCAACAATTTAAATAAAAGAGAAGTATGAAAATCAAAAAAATATATTTCCATATATTTAACATTTAAAAAATCAGTCTTCATGTTGCATAAAGTATTAATGAACAATTAAAATCACTTGAAACTTATCACATGGTTCTATGCTAGATTAGTTTTATTCATCCATGGGCAGTCAGTTAAACCACATGAATTAAATGAACTTATTTACTACTTTATGTCACAGCAGCATTTTAAAAGTACACAATAAGAATAGACAGTTAAGAGTTACACTGACGATCTATATTGATATGAATTTAGAATCAGAGCTATTTAATAGAAAACCCTTCATAATGTTACTGTAACTTTCAACATTTCGTGTCTTTTTTTTTCTTATTTTGCACTATGATAAAGGCTGCCAGGGCAGCTGAAATGTCCATAAATAAGTCCACTCATGTGTTTGATTCACCAGCCAGTGATGAGGTAGACAAATTAATTATGAATTCTTTGTACCATCACAACATAAATGACACACTTGAAAGCTAATTAGAGATACTGCAACAAAACATAAATCAGTCTATCCAAAAGGAATTGCACAACTGAAAACTAATCAAAAACAAGCAGAGTACACCCTGTTCAAATGACACTTGCACCTATTTCAGCCTACCAAATAAGCTTATAAGTAACTTTAAAATAAACTAATTCCATAACACTTTTCAGTATGTGGTAGGGGAAGGTTTTAACTTTGATTTAGACACCTGTCAATGCAAACCATAAGTTTCAACACAGAAAATGCTTATTTGTAGTGATGTTCAGACATAAATTGCTTATAACTCGGAAATGGTCAACTTTAAATAATTTACAGAGTTTTGGGCTGTGTCCATTTTGTTGAGAATACTGGGATCACTTGACACATAGGTCACTACTAACTTGTTTCTGACGTTATGTTAAGCATTCAAGTTATGAACGAGTTAATGTCTGCATACCCATTATTTTCAAAACTGTTGAGTATCTAATTAAGGTTAAGACCTTCCTCTACAAGGTCCTGAAGAGTACTGGAAAAAGAGTGCATACCCATTTGTTTGAACTTTATGTACTCATTTGCAATAATATAAAACTAGAACACAAATCAAATTTGAACATAACATAATATAAAATTAATATTTCAATACTGAACACAACAAAACTAATAAACTATGACTTAACTTTAATGGCAAAATACAGTAAAGCTAGGAGCTTGTTTGGTGACAGTTACACTGCTTTTCTTTGAGGATGTTGTTTCGTTCCTCAATCAGTTGGTTCCTTTTTTTCATTTCTTCTAATTTTAAGTTTTCTATGTGCAGTTTTTCCTCATAATACGTTTTGCGGTCACTTCTTATTTTTTCCATAATACCTTGTCTTTTTCGAATTATCTGACTTTTCTTCTGTGGTGTCACTGCTTGCAATGATTTTGGGCTGCTTATGCTTTTAGATGGTGAAGAGACATCTGGTGCAGCTGTAGTGATAGCATTATCACTGTTCATATCTATTTGAGTATCTATTTGATCACTTGCTAGCAGCAATTCAGGATGGATATTTTTTTCTTGAGAAATACCTCCTCCATTTCATGCTTATACTCAAAAAATGTTCTTCCTCTACCTAAAATTACAGGAAAAAATTAAATTACATCCTGCCAAGCATATGCAAAGTTGCCTTAGCTTTTACATCTAACTATGGTGTATCTCATTGGATTCATAATTAAAAGGCAATTTCAATTACTTCTCAGCTTTAGGAGTCCTCTTACCTGTTTGCCTTTGGTTATCAACATATTTTTTATAGTTCCGCTCCAGTACCCTCCATCTATTCATGCAATTGTTTGGCGTTACCTTAATATTAAGGTCTAGTAAAGCCTGTGATATTTTCCACCACATCATCTTTGAATTTTTGACGTCGAAGGAACCTAGCTTCCTTTTAAAGGTTCCATAAACTTCAATGAGAATTTTGGTTGCCTGATGACTCCATCTAAATTCTGGTGCTCGTGCCGTGGTACTCTCGCTCGGCAGAGCACTTGTATTTGGCATAACAAGAAACTATTTAGTTCTGTAAACAGAAGGCAGTTAGCTCCATACGTCCCAACCCCATAGTCGTCAAACTTACCATAAGCTGGGATATTTTGATTCTCCATGGCAAAACAACATTCCTTATCCTTATAACCTTCAAATTTCAACATTCTAATTTCTATTCAATGCGCATGTGTGGACTCACAGTCCTCGCTACGGACCAGGTACTGTTTTGACGGTCCAAAAACCGTTCGTTGAACTGTCGGAGATCTGTTGGAACAGTGTATCAAGCGTCCCATGAACCGTCATAGGTTTGTGTTGGAACACTTCAAGCGGACTGCGCACGTGCGTGACGGTACAATGTACGGTACGCAGCGTTGTTGGTACAAACCCAACGTCACCCGTTTCAATTAAATATCGAATGAAGAATTTTTCAAACTAAAAGGGCATATGTCTACCTAGGCCATCTAGGTATTAGGCACAATAATACTTATGCCTTTCTTATTATAAGAAATACAGTTATAAGTTTACTTATGCCCTTCTAACTGACTAAACGGATAGTTCCCGCGCTTTTTAGTTAGACGTAACCTTAAAACAAAGTGTAGGATGTTTACATTTTTCACAAGTAATTATTCAGTTATTATGTTTTAAAACATTATAATATAAGCTAAAATTGATTTAGCGCTCTTTCACATGGTCAGGGGGTTTATCCGTCCGTGTGATCGCCCGTCAACCGGAAAAATAGTAATACACAGTTTAGCATAGGTTCTTTCACACTTCCCGGACACGGGTGAATCCCCGTCCGGGCATACAAAACGCCCGGATGTCCCCGCTAGAACTCACGGAGCTCGGACGGGTAATCGCCCGGAATATGCCCTAGTGGACTACAGTGTGCCATGAATGCATTCACATGATCCGGGTGTTTAATCGTCCGATTGGTTTATACTTGTTTGCAGTCCAGTAGACGAAGACCGTGTGTACTCTGCAGTGTAGCTACGAGCATTTGATCATGTCGAAAGAAGTAGAACAAATAGATTCTGAAATCCTGATTAGTTTAGTTCAGGATAAACCAGAAATCTGGGACAAAGCTGCCGAGGATTACAAAAATCGCAACAAAAAAACAGAAGCGTGGAGAAGTATTTGAGCCCAGTTGAAGGGAAATTTTGAAAATTTGAGTGACGGGGAAAGAAAAGAATTTGGTAAGTTTAAAGTTATTTTATTATTTGCCTCTTATTTCTTATGAACATTGAACTAAACATATGTTATGGTTGGGTAATAGTATAATTATATAATAAATAAAACAAGATTCCTAAATTTTCGACAACTGCCATGATACTTTGCCTACTTCAGTTAGAAAATAGTCACTTAGAACATTTCTGATATTATTAGCTGCCCTTCCACCTTGCATATTTGCTTGTGCTGGCAAATCATTCATACCCACAACTGTCATGGTATCCTCGAAGTTATAGCCATCTCTTTCTCTCACGAAATTGTGAAGCACTACACAAGCTTTCACAATACTAACGGCAAAATCTGTATTAACATTCAAAGATCGATGAAGAATTCTCCATTTGTTTGAATTTGAACACTCAACATATCTCCTGGCTCGGCTGAGGCGATAATTGAAAATCCTTTTCTTCTGTGAAAGTTCCTTTCCTCCAAAAGGCCGTAGTAGATTAATATTTAATCCAAAAGCTTCATCTCCTATGAGAAAATAAGGTACGTTTGAAGCTTCAGAACCAGATAGAGGCTTTGCAGATGGCAATTCCAAGGACTTTTTTTGTATACTCTTCCACAAACTACTTTCTTTGAATATACTTGAATCACACTCACTCCCATATGCACCTACATCAACATAAATGAACCGATAATTCGAGTCAGCAACTGCCATCAACACAACTGAGAAATAGGACTTATAATTATAGTATAAGGAACCACTAAACTCGGGTTTTACAATTCTAATGTGTTTCCCGTCCACAGCACCAATGCAGTGGAAAAAATTCGCTCGTTTTTTGAATCCAGCAGCTACTGACTCAAAACGTTCTTTTGTAAGTTTCGGAATACATTCTTCAACTAAGCACGACCAAAGAATGTCACAGACCTCTCGAACAATTTTTGAAATTGTAGAAATTCCCAATCGATAGCTATAATACAGATCTGTAAAGCTACATCCACTAGCCAGGTACCTGAAAGTAAAAAAAAAAAACAATAAATTGAAAATCTATAATTCGAGTCTAGTATTGTTGAATATTTTTTTTGTTACAGGTCAACTAGTTCTTAAAAGGTGGAATAATATCAGAGACCAGTGGCTTAAATGGAGGAATCGAGACAAAAACTCGAAAAAATCAGGAGCAGCTGCATCAAAACTGCGAAAGTATTTGTATCACGAACAACTAAATTTTCTAGAGCAAGGTTTATATCACCGGTCAACTGATGCAAGCATGGCCTATGAGCACTCAGATGAAGCAGAAAGTCAGCAGCAAACTGAAGAGCTCCAGTCAGCAGAAGATCAAGGGACGGCGACTCCGGATGCAACTAAGCAGACTTCGCAAACTCCAACTGCAAAAATCCCTTCCGTGAAGACCACATCTGTGCAACAGTCAACGAGGAAGAGGAAGCGAACCCTCGACGAATTTGAGCTAAGGATGCTTAAATCGGTAGAGGCAGGAGACCAAGAGGACCGTCATATGCAATTTTTTAAGGGCATTCTTCCATCTGTTCAAAAGTTCACAGACAACCAGGTTGTAGATTTTCAGATGGGAGTTCTGCAGGTGATTAAAAACATTCAAAACACTGTCTCTATTCCAACAACCCAACCTCAACAGCTGCAGATTTATGCTCCTCCATGCTCTCAACAACACACACACCAGTACCCCTGCAGCTCTCCATTACAGAACTCTCAGCAATATCCCTCTTCTGACCTTTCATACACTCCACTGCTAGGCAGGGTCTCTAGTCAACATCATGAAACGATTCCATCGAGTACCATATCTACAAACATCATATCTCCTGGTTCTAATGACACACAATCTAGAAGTAATTATAGCAATTTGACATCCCCTTTCTCACATAATTCAGATATTGACTTTTGATCTTTTGAAGTATTATAATAATAAATATATTTTTGCATTAAAAAAATAGAATATTAACCTAAAATGTATATTTTGTTTTTATTTATTTTAAATAAACATACCTTAATGTAACAGCCAACATTTGTTCAGGTTGGATGCAATTCCTCATATTTGTATCTTGTCTTTGTAGCTGTGTCTGCACACGTTGCAGCAACTCATCAAAAGAAGAAACGCTCATACGAAAATAATTTAAAAACTTAGTTTCGTCTTCTTTCAGTTGTTGAAAAAGCACAAAGAATGCTCCTTCCAGGTATCTGCTTTCTAGCAAAGGGTGAACCCAAATTTGCCTATTACGTTGTTTTTTTCGCCGATGTTTTAATAAAGCGAACAAAATCGTTTTGCGTCTACTGTTCATCATAATCAGCGGCAAACTGAAGTACCTAGCAAAAAGTGGTCCGGATTTTCGCACACACCCGTCCACCCGTGTGAAGAGAGTTCCAGGGTGCTGCCCGGCCGGGCGATCATACGGACGGATAAATATCCTGACCATGTGAAAGAGCGCTAAGGGCTGTTAAAAATGGTTAAATGTCGTAGTGGGCGAACTCAAAGAATGCTAGATGTGTGTAGACGGCAGATTGAGTCAAGTAAGTGTACAGGTTACGGCGGCGCAGATCTAGTGATACCTATTTGATTTCAGGCAATGACAGTTACGATCCTCACAATTCTCAAAACGAAGAATCGCAATTTGAAAATGACCGAAAAAACTTATCAGAATCGTTAATCGGACAATCAGGTAAGTCACATTTGTTGACAGAGATATTCGATTGTATACTTCATAGCTTCAATTGGAATCGTGCTAATCGTTCCAAGTTTAAGTTATTGATGAAAATGAAATATATAGAATGTTTTATTATTTTTCCAGAAAAAAGAGTCAAGTTGAGTGTTGATGAGATGTTGAGCAATCCACCTGTATCTAATGAGCATGAAACATATTTCGACTCGCTGGATTTCCAAGGCCTCAATTTTCCTTGTGTTGATGAATCTCTGGTAGTATCCGTAGCAATTGATGATCTGGTAACGGAGGGTACGTTTTTTTTCTGTTCGTATAAATTCGTTACTTGAAATATTGTATTTGAAGGAATATATCTACAAGATCAAGAACTGCCATTGATTACAAACAATTGCATCAAGGATGCAGAAACTAATCAACAGGACAACGAAATTCTTCAAGCTGGAAACGAAAATATAGAAAGTGCAAATGAGAGTGGAGATAGTAGCCAAATGGTTGATAATATAGATGATGATGTACATGTAACTCAAAACGGAAGTAACGTCAAACCATTTGCAGTTAAGAAAGTTAAAGAGCGCAAAAGTAAACGTAATTTAGGAATAAGTTATTGTACTATAAAGGGC